TGGTTGCTTGATTGGAGGGATCAGGAGGATGGGCAAAAGGATTAAGAAGTACAAATTGGTAGTTACAAAATAATCATGGGGCTGTAAAGTTCAGCATAAGGAATTGAGTAGCCAAAGAACATATTTGCACTGTCTATGGACATGGAACACAGTGTAGTGATTGCCTGAGGGAGTGAAAGGGCTGCTTTGAGGGAGACAGAGGGGGAAATTTTGGGACAACTGTAATAGCATAAACAATAAAATATAATAAAAAATGAGCACCTTCAAACAAAAGTGACAAAGGGAGGGGTGGGAAGTGCTGAGAAAGCAGAGCCAGCTCTTGGTATAACCACAAAAATCCCTTCCGCTTTCAGAGTCCTGTGCCCTTCTACATATGCCTGGGTCCAAGATGTATACTTTTCCTAATTGGGAAGATGCCAAGGGAGAATTTTAGCTTCCTTCTCAGGCCACAGCTCAGAATAGAGGTTGCTCCAATCTGGAGCTATAGCTAGCCACTGGACAGAACCTCTTGAGCTCAGTAGCATCCCACAATGATTGATTCTTTTCTGTGAATGTTAAAGAATTTCCCCAAATTCCCCTAGAAAGATTCACATCTGTATCTAAAATGGGGAAGGGGAAAAGCTGGGAAATTTTTGTTCAGGTTTCAAACTTTAATATCTTCAAATGTTGGTTGCTATTCCATGCAAATTTGTTCCGGGGATAATGATAAGTCTTCACAGTGGCCATCTGACTCTGAATAATGAAACCATGTATAAATGGTAGAGTGGTGGTATGTCGGATGAGGGTAGGGAGACTCTGGGGTCAAACTACACATGTTCAAATCCCAGCTCTGCTACTTTTTAGCTCTGTGGCCTTGGGCCAGTTACTTATCTGTGCCACAGATTTTTTGTCTATAAAATAGGATTAGTGATAGCACCCACCTCTCACTGCTGTTTGGAAGATTACACAGGATAATCCAGATAAAGCAGTTAGTCCATATCTGGGGCCCTGGTAAGTGTTCCACAGATGTTAATATTAAACTGTGGCTTTTGCCAGTCTTTGGTCAAGGCTTTACTTTTAGATCCTCCCCCACAGTTTAAATAGAACCCTGAAGAGAATGGATGCTGAATACGTCCTAACTAGCCCTATCCCACACACTTTTCAGGCTCTTCAGGGCTAAGCTTAGGTTTACCTACAATAACTAGATCTTAACATTTGTACATATTGCACTTGATTTTTCCAAACACTTTTACAACCTTTATCCCCTGAAGCTGTGAAGTTAGCAGAATAGTGATGATTATCCCCATCTTGGAGAAGAGGAAACTGAGGCCTTGAAAGGTAAACTGTCCTGTTTAGAACTACCCAGCTTGTTAGAGAGACAAAGGTACTCAAACTCAGGCCTTCTCCTCCAATGGTCATTTGAAATTCTTATATCATCTTCTCTCCTATAACTCCTACATTAGATCACAAGGGATCAAGTAACCTGCTTCCCTGCTTCACAGCTCTTCAGGATGCTGTTTTCAGACCATGTGAGAAGGAAAGAAATACATGATCCATATGTAAAAACTCTCTCTATACTCTGTGGTAGGGCAACTTATTTTATGTGTAATATTCTGGTTGGAGGATAAGGTTGATAATGCCTTAAAGTCTGAAGCCTATTGGAAAAAATTGAAGGGAAGAAGTCCTATGCTTGATCTGACAAAACTAGTACAGTGTAGTGGGATCTTAGCTGAGCCCAAAGTGAGACTCAGAAATATCTGGAAACTCTCTGAGGTATTGATCATTCAGTGGCAGCCCAAGCCTGTACTTGCATTTGAGAAAGTAGTCTTTAAGAGAACTTTTCTTTTTCAAATCAAATGGTAGATTTATTAAGATAAGGTTTTATATGCTATTGGTCACTGAGAGGCAGAGACAAAGACCAGTTGGTGGGTGTAAAGATGGTAGAAGGATGGATGAATAGGAAAGGGTGATATTTGCTTTCTACCTGGGCTCCAAGGACTGGGTGTGTGGAGAGAGTTCCTGGCATCTATTCACAAGGATGACAGTGGTTTCAAAGAGATCTGTGGACTCATAGTGCTTTAGGGACAGGGATAGAGACCACGTGGAAATTTTGGAAATCAGAGATGAAGGCTGCATCTGAATAGGGGACTTGATGGCTTTTGTTCTCTGGGTACAGGAACCAAGTCTGAAAGTCTGAATTGGGATAAAGTGGGTGGGGGCAGCAGGGGAGAGTTTGCCGCAGGAAGAAACTAAAGCTTCTCTTTTCACATGGGCCTCAATGAAATAAAGGATAGAAACAATGCTGTTTCAATCTCTAGATGACAAAATGTGGCACAGAATGGGAAGAAGAGTTACTACTCCCACTCCCTAATTCCACCACCTAAACCCCTCACCCACCCTTCCGACCCCCTACCCTTCATGACCCTATCAGTGACCTTAGCCAAACCTGCCTAACAGGAGGACAGCACCATTCAGGCCTCTTGTGGATTTGCAGAATCTACAAACCCCACCCCAGCAGTGACCCCATTCAGGTTCCCACAGCCAGAGGCACTCACCAGCAGCTGGGGCAGGATGGAGGAGCTGCCCTCACTCGGCAGTGTGGTCAACTGACTGCCACAAGGCAGGATAGGAAGAAAACACAAGGAAGAACTACCTCAGAGTAAAGGAAATTACTGGGGTCTTCCATAAATAACCAGAGGAAACCTTCAAGGTGTTGAAATTGTGTATCACACATGTAATGACTGGGATCAGTGACATCTGAATTTTTACTGCTTATGGAACCTTATTTTTCCCTATGGGCCAATGTGGCTTGCAGAAACTTGAAACACCATTTTACCACAGGCAAAATTGTCTCAAGCACTTAGGCATATGGTTGCTCAGCTGCATGTAGATGTTGAGTGGCTCTAGAAACATTTCTAAATATAACGTTCTGGGTGGGTAGAGGAACAGGGAGTGAGCTCCAGCAGGGTATAAGTGAGCTTCATTTGTTCCATTTGTCTCTAGTGACTTAGTTTTAGGGAGTAGAGAGTCAAAAATAAAGTGAAGAACACTAGGGAGAAAAAACAAAGAAAAATATGTTATTTTTCTCTATTATCATGGCTATAAATAGTCACTTTTATGTTTAAAGACATTTTTCTTCCCATACACATTTGCCAGACACAGATTATAATTCTATATCATCAAATATCTTTTTCAGTAGAGAGTAGGGTCAACAGTGCTTTCCTGAGCTAAGAGCAATCCTGGCTGAACACAGAGATCCAAAGTTCACTAGGGCCTGGACTGGGCCAGGTGTGAGCCAAAAGGGTTCCCAGAGGCCCACAGCCTTCCTGCCTGGGATTTGGGTTTCCCATCTTGTTGCACCCCTCTTTTTTCCAATGCAACAGCACTGGTGATTGGTGCATCTGCTGGAAGCCTGCAGAGCCAGTTTCTTATCTATATTACCATTGGACCTCCAGTTTGTCTGCCAATCTTTGTTTTTTCTGAGAATCATTTTCCTTTTCCTGGAATCACACCCAACGTTTAGGGTAATGGAGAAGCAGACTTAAGTCCTCAAAGGAGTTTTGGCCCCTGTCCCTCTCTTTCTATCCCTGCTGCTCTAGCCCTAGACTGAACCATCTGGTGAGTCAGCCACCTATACTATTACAGTAGGGAGCTCATCGCTGCTCTCTGACCCCTTCCCCCATCCTCCTAACTGTTGCCAAATTGGCATTCTAAAATATGTTTCTAATCATGTCACTTACTGTTTTTAAAAGATCTTTGAGTAACCCAATTACATGGACTATGACTGAATAAATAAATCGGCCCTGTTAGTATTGCATTTCCTATTATCCTGGTTTTTTGTCTTGGTAGTCTTTAACACAATTTCAACCTATCTTACCTGCATGTTTTCTTGTTTATTGCCTATGTCTTCCCTCAAGTGGAATGAAGTTTTCATTCAATAAATGTTCTTATCTCTCTGTCCCCAAAACACTGGCTGGTACATGTTAGATAATAAATGTTGATTGAATGAAGGACTCAATAAACCAAATTCTGTTAGCAATAGTTAATTCTCTTTTTCATAAATAAAGTTTATTTACTTTTATGATTACAAATGTAATGCATGCTTACTGTAGAGAATCTGGAAAGTACAGAGAAGTAGAAAGAAGAAAATAAGAACACCATAATCCTGCCACCTAAAGGCAACACTGATCACATTATGTTCTATCTATGCCTTTTAAAAGACCAAGACCCTTATCAAGAGTGCTGGGCATGAAGCACAATAGCCAAGGGGAGTGAGGGCAACTAACAGCTGAGGGAGTCACCCAGAAGTCAATGCTAGAGATTTGACATTGAAGGACAAGAGCTATACAAAACAGATCAAGAGGTTAGCTGACAACACAATAACAGCTTGGGTTTTGGTAAGAATGTAGTGAGATAGTGCTTGTTAACAATTTATCCCAGTATCTGTCACAGAATACATAATCAATAAATGGTATCTATTACTACGATCATTATTATGGGTCAAAACAAATGGTTCGGGATGGAGACTATAAACAGGGCAAGCGCCCTGGAGACCTATGTTACATGTTATGAGTTGAGGCATATAACAGCAAGTCTACTGGGTGAAAAGTGCTGTGTAGGAGTGGGCATCTCTCTCCTCATAGGCTTCCCTACCAGGTGAAATGGGTACCAGGGAGTCCTCAAGTTTACCTGGTGACATGTGGCAAGATACTCTAAGGTGTTTTTGAGGTAGGACATCATTTCTGCTGCCTAGATGTCTCCTTGGACCAAGAACTAAAACTGACTTTGGTGGTGATAGGAACTCTTGTAGTCCATACTCTGATTGTCAAGACAAATCACAGGCATATGGGGTAAAAGAGAAGGTTGTGTCAACCAACTGGAAGGTAGGGTGGGATGTGCATGGAGGGGGAAACTGAAAGGGAAAGGCCACAAGGATTATGATGTAATTGAATGGAATGAGCTCAGGAACCAGTCCTCAAGTTAGCAGCTGAGTCAGATATCACAGAAGAGTCCAGGGAACATTACTTGTTGGTGGGGGCCTTCTGATGACCTATGCTCTGTCGAAGGTGGTTGTGTAGACCTTCTTGGGGGTCTCCATGCTCTTTCAGGTAGTAACAGCGTTTGGGAACATGCTGATGCTGAGAGAAAGAAAAACAAAAAACAGCAGAGGTAAGAGCTATGTTTACTGCGACAAAGGGGTATTCTGCTTGGATAAGTTCAGTAACCTAGCAGACCAAGAAATTTGGCTAATATACCTTACTTCTAAACAGTGTGACAGAAAACTAAGGTAGCCAAATTCTCTAGTGACCTGGGCCCATAACACATGTGGTGGTAGGTAATACCTAGTCCCCAAAATGGGTCCCCTCCCTTAGAATTGGACTTGGAATAAGTAGAGAGTTCGGACTGAGCCCAGCCAGCTCCCCCTAATCAGAAGACTTAGTCTCTTAACCATCTTAGGCCTTCAATAACTTGGGCAGGGCTTTGTTTCTCAAAGTGGTTAATACACCCAAAATAACTGCAATAGTCAGGCCTGCTGAGGAAACTCCAGGTTAAGGGTTATAGTCTAGGAGCTCAATGCCTCCCCCTTGCCTCCTCAAAGAAGCAGAATGTATTCTTCACCATCTCCTCCTAATTTTTATGCTTAGGACCTTGAGTGTATTTCCCCACTATTACCTCCTCAGTCTGCTGATGAGAGTTCAGTTCATTCGTCATTGCCTCTTCATTATTCCGTTTACAGGCTGACTGCAGAACCTGGCTTGAGCTGCCCGGGGAATCCTTCTCTTCAGCCAGCTGGCACTCAGTGTAGAGAGACCTGTCTATCAGCTCCTTTAGGCTGCCAGCCACCTTCAGGAAGATCTGTCTCATTTTGGTGGTAACAGCTTCCGAGAGACCTTCCAGAAACCTGGTCCGTAGAATGGCATCAGACCAAGACAAATGCTGGGCAAGCAGCAAGAAGTCAGTGGCATACTGCCTGACTGACTTCTGGCCCTGCTTGGGGTGACAAAGAACGGCACTGAGGACATCTATCTCAGAGAGAGAATTATATAAGCCCTGTGATCTTTTTAGGAAAGATTTATTTTCATCTGAGAGGGGGTTTCCTACCTCCATCTGCAAGATAGACCACCTTTCCGCTGCCCCCAGATGAAGAGACACCAGAAATGCCATTTTCTCTGAATCACTCAAAAATCTCTTCATTTGCTTCTCCTCATCAATCTCCATCTCCTCCTCCTCAGAGCATGAACCCCGGGCTGCTTCCTGTTCTTCTAAGAGGTAACAGAGCGCTGGAGTCAGCATGCCAAAGGATTCAACTTCCTTTGGTGGTGGGTTCACTGTTTCAGGGGTTGTGGCAGTCACATGTGGTGTGGACTTTGATCCAGGGTCCATGATGTTATTGTGAGAGGCAGCTGTTTCTCCAGAGTCTGTGGCTTTGCTGTCCACAGAGGCTGTGGCTGCCATTTGTGGTGTGGACGTGGCTATGGCTGTCATTTGTGGTATGGACATGGCTCCCAGGACTGGGGTCCTCATTAGTGGTGTGGATATCCTGCCAGAGGATGTGGCTCTCAGAAATGGCATGGACACCATTCCAGCAGCTGAGGCTTTCATTGGTGGTGTGACTATCCCTCCGGAAGTTGAGTGTGTTTTATCTGGCAAGGACATAGATCCAGAACTTGTGGCTCTTGTTTGCAGTGTGGACATTGCTCCAGAGGCCTTGCTTTCCATTGGTGGCACAGACATCTCTCTAGAAGCCACGGCTGACATCAATGGCATGGGCATTGTTCCAGAGGCTGTGGTTCTCATGAATGGCTTGGACTTCCCTCCAGAGGCCATAGCTATTGTTTGTGCAGTGGACATCTTTCCAGAGGCTGGAGGTCTCATTAACTCTGTGGACACATCTTCAGAACCTGAAGGTCTCCTTAGTGCTGTGGACATAATTCCAGAGACTGGAGCCCTTAATAGTGGTGGGGACATCATTCCAGAGGCTGGGGCTTGCTTTGATAGTGTGCATGTCTCCCCAGGAGCTGTGGGCATCATCTGTGGTATAGACATTGCTCCAGAGGTTGGAGCTCTCAACTGTGGTATGGACACCTCTCCAGAGGACATGGCTGTCATTTGAGGCATGGGCATTACTCCAGAGGCTGTGGATGTCATGAGCCATGTGGACATGTCACCAGAGACCGGGGCCCTCATTTGTGGTATGGATACCATTCCAGAAGCCGTGGCTGTCATTTGTGGAGTAGGCATAACTTCATAAGCTGGGGGTCTCAGAGATGTGACTATCTCTCCAGAATCTGGGTGTCTCCTTAGTGGTGTGGATACCTCTCCAGATGATGAACCTCTTATGAGCAGTGCAGACACCTCTCCAGGGTCTGAGGCTCTCATCGGTGGTGTGGACATCTCCCCTGAGGCTGGGGCTCTCAATTTTGGTGTGGATATCATTTCAGAGGCTGGGGCTTGCATCTGCAGTGAGTACACCCCTCCAGAGGTCGTAAATCTCGAAAGTGACCTGGACATCCCTCCAGAATTTTTGGTGCTTATTGGCTGCCTGGGCAACTTTGTAGAGCTTATGGTTCTCATTAGTTCTGTGGGCACTGCTCCAGGGTCTGGGGCTCTCATAAAAGGTGTGGACACAGTTCCAGAGGCTGCAGTTGTCATTTGTGGTGCGGACATAGCTGCAGAGGCAGTGTCTGTCATCTGTGGCATGGACATGGTTCCAGAAGCTGTGTCACTTATTAGTATTGTGGATATGTCTCCAGAACCTGTCATTGTCATTTGCTGCATGAGCATTGCTTCTGAGGCCTTGGATGTCATTAGTGGCTTGGACAATGCTCCCAAGGCTGTAGCTCTCGTTTGTGGCATGGACATCACTCCCGAGGCTGTGTCTATGGTTAACAGTGTGGACATTGCTCCAGAGGCTTGAGCTCTCATTTGTGGTACAGCTGTTACTTCTGAGACCATGGTTCTCTTTTGTGACATGGGCATTGCTCCAGAAACAGGGGTTCTCGTTTGCAGTGTGGACATTGACCCAGAGGCTGGGACTGTCAGATGTAGCATGGACACTGTTTCAGAGGCTGGGGCAATAACTGGTTGTGTGGATATTGCTCCAGAATCTGGAGCTCTCCTTAGCGGTGTGGACATCATTCTAGAAGCTGGGGCTCTCACTGGCAGTGTGGATATTTCCCCATTGTTTATGGCTTTCATAAAGTCTGTGGATGTTGCTCCAGAAGTTCTGGCCACTGTTACCTGTGTGGACATCACTTGAGAGGCTGCGGTTTGCTCTGTGGACATTGTTCCAGAGGTTGTGACCGTAACCAATGGGGTGGACAATGCCCCAGAGTCTGAAACTGTCTTTAGCAATGTAGACATGTTGCCAGAGGCCAGGGCTCTCATTTGAGGTGTGGACATGCTTTGAGAGTCTAGATTTTGTGTTAACTGTGAGGGCATTACTCCAGAACTTTCAGCTGGCATCAGCTGGGTGGGCATCATTCCAGACGTCAGGGCCGACATTAGTGGCGAGGGCATTACTTCAGTGTCTGGGACTGGTTTTGGCAACGTGGACATTTCTCCAGCATCTGAACCTGATAGAAGCAGTGTGGACATTTCTCCAGGGCCTGGAGTTGACATTAACAGTGAGGACACCGCTCCAGAGTTTGGGCCTGCCATTAGCTGGGTGGACATTTCCCCAGAGTCTTGGGTGCTTGTTGGATGGGTTGATGTTGCTCCAGAAGCTAGGGCAGACATTATCAATGAAGATAAAGCTTCAGAGTCTGTGCCTGACATTATCAGTGAAGCTATCTCTCCAGAGGCGAGGGCAGTCATTAGTACTTTGGACATCGCTTCAGTGTCTTCATCTGTAATTTGCAGTGGTGACATTGCTTCAGAGTCTGGAGCTGACATTGGTTGTGTGGACATCACTCCAGGGTTTATATCTGGCATTAGGAGTGGGGACATCTCTCCAGGATCTGGGGCTAACATTAACGGTGTGGACATATCTTCAGAGGATGGTGTGCTCATTATAGATGTAGATATCACTCCAGAGGATGGAGTTGGCATGGCCAGTGGGGATATCTCTGCGGAATCTGGTGCTTCCGTTAGTGTTGTGGACATTGCTCCAAAGTCAGGAATTGTCATCAGCCCTGGGGACATTAGACCATAGTCTGAAGTGGACAGCAATGGGGACAATGTTCCAGAATCAGAAGCTGGCATTAGCAATGGGGACAGTGCCCCACAGTCGGAGGCTGGCATTAGCAATGGGGACAGTGGCTCTGAATCTGAAGCTGGCATTAGCAATGGGGACAGTATCCCAGCGTCGGAGGCTGGCATTAGTGGTGAGGACAATTCTCCAGAGTTTGGTACTCCCATTAGAGGTGTGGACATGGTATCAAAGTCTGGCGATGTGATCAGCTGTGTGGACATCACTCCAGGGTCTGATGCTGAAGTTGAGACTATAGGCTGTACATGAGATTGCAGAATTTGGACCTCTTCTATGGTCTGTGTCGTTGGTCCAGAGAAAGTCGTCCCCCTGTTTGGGAGATCATTTTCGACCCTCAGCATATTGTTGAATCGTGGTGAATGTAAGGGTACTGACATATCTGCCATGGCCACAGGAAGAAATCCCCAAAATGATGATATCCGGGGTCCTGCCGAAGCCCAAGTAGCAAGAAAACCTGTAAAAAAAAAACAAGCTTAGCAGTCAAAAACCAGTATCAAGAAGCTTGAAAAACAGAAATGATGAATGATGGAAGCCTTTTTTATGTGTTGCCAGCTATGTAGCATCAGAAATGGGCCTATCAAGTTAAAGAAGCTGTGCAACAATAAACAAATTTGAAGCTGTAGCAAATATCCCTCCCACCATTATTCTTTTCAGACCAAACCACTCAGTCACACAGTACAGCCTCTCAGTTTATAAATATTAAAAATGCCAGCAATCTCAGCTGTCAGGTGTGGAAGCAGTCTTGGCTCAAATGAAGCAGCAGCACCATCTTCTGGAAAACTGGGAGAAGTGCAGGTTCCTGGGCTATATTTTATCCTACCAGATCATTCACAAGCCAGCCAAGTTACTGGGAGACCTAGATGAGATATGAGATAACCCTTTGTTCTAGGAAAATCATTAGTTTCTGGAGCTCATTGAGTTCTGCCAGTAGTTTAGTGGCCATTTTACTACTCAAATGGCCCTGAATGTCTTCCTCAGAAAAAGGAAGATTTTATCTGATCAGTAACTGTGAGCAGCATTCTATGAACTGAAAAGCCTGCTTATTAGCATTATTATTTTTTAAAGATTGTATTTATTTATTTTTAGAGAGGGGAAAAGAAGGAGAAAGAAAAGGAGAGGAACATCAATGTGTGGTTGCCTCTCGCACGTCCCCTGCTGGGGACCTGGTCCCCAACCCAGGCATGTGCCCTGACTGGGAATCCAACCAACAATGCTTTGGTTCGTAGGCTGGCACTTATCACTATTATTATTAATAAAAAGAACAACAACCACTACTACTAACACTTACTGCTTAGTGTGTTCCAGGCAGTAAGCTTTAGGCAACTGTACACAACTATATGCAATTTTAAACTGTCTATAATGTACAGGTATTTGCAATATCCCATTTGAATCTTACAATACCTTACACAATAGAGAGTATTATTATTATTTCAATTTTACCGCATTTCTCAGATTTTCCAAGGTTGGGGCTAAAATAGGGTCACTGCAACAGGAAAAACTGTATGTCTTTGACTATTGCCTTTCCTCGGGGTTGCCTAGCTTTTAGCACCTGTAAGGCTGCATTCAGTTATCTTTCTGACATCCTAGACCATAGCTCACTTGAAGCCCAGTCTATAGCATGGAAAATTTCAAGTTTCTCTGATGACATGTGGGTAGGCAATCACAGAGCTTCATCCTTATGACCCATCCCCATAAACAGCCCCAGAAGCGGCTCCTTGGCACATAACCTGGAAACCAACACACATTACAAAATGTTGGCACATCCCCACAGCTTGCTTGTGCCAAAAATGGAACACTTGCTCATTTGGGACAATGTCACAAAAGTCATCAATTGCATGGCATTGTGCATTCATAATAATAGTACTAGCAACAGAAACTCTAACAGTGAACATTTTTTGAGCATGCACTGACTGGCAAGCACTCTGCTAAGGCACTTTACATATATCATCTTATTTGGTATCCACAGCAACACTAAGAGATTGGGTTGTACTCTATCTTCATCTTACAAATGAGAAAACTAAGGCCCAGGGAAACTAAATTTGCCTGCAGTCACATAAATTCTCAGGTCCATCCAACTCCAGAGCCCCCTACTCTTCCCCACTGTGCTATAAAGCTCCACCTAATCTGCTCCCCCTCTTATTTAGTCACATTACCAAGACCCCTCCCTCTATCTCCAGCCTTGGGCAACCCTGAGATGACTGTAGTAAAAGAATCACTGGCTTCCTGCTGGCACCTTGGTTACTCTACTAACTGGTGCAATGGGAAAGATGAGTGAAGAGAGCAGTCATAGACATCCACCTCTAATCTTCAGAAAAATCTCTGAATATGCCACAGCTTCCCACCAGACAAAACCTGGAAATATCTTATCTTGCCAGATAAGAAGAGGGAGAGCATGTCCTTTGTGGCCCTAGCTCTTTGGGTCTGGCCAATTCTCTTATGCCCCATACCTAGCCAGTTCATTAAAGTAAGAACCAATACCAGCAGCTGTTCTCTGCAATCTCCCTTAGCTATCCCCTGCCACACCCTCCTCCTGCCCACCAGCCAGCCCACCCACCCACTTCACTGCTCCTGACTTGCTAGTGCTTGCTCTGTCTCTCTGGTCCCAGATTCCTGCCTCTATATAGGCTCTGGCTTTTGCCTCTGGCCGCCTTTCACTTGACAGCCCTCCAGAAGCTCCACTTTAGAACTTGGTCTATGCAACTCCACATTTCCCCTCACCCCTGATTGTTGCAGCAGCCCACTATGCCTGCCTCTGGCTGTCCCTAAGAAAAGAGGAAATTCACACAATTAAAGAGATGACATGAAACAGTCTTGGCTCAAGAAGCAAGACATCCCCTCTACAGGAGGGAGTCTACAGGAGTCCTGGAAGCCAGGCGTAGGTAGGGGTTAGAAGTAACAGAACCGGGGATGGAGGCTGAGTGGAACAGCATCAGAATTCAAAAAGTTCAAGGGCAGGAAAACCAGGGTTTGTTAGGATGGGCCATAGGGGGTTGATAACCTGCAATGGTGATAACAAAGGCAATTTTCCCCACAATTAGAGACCCAGAGGGAAATCTGGCAACCAGTGTCCCTGCCACAGAGCTAGGATTTGACAGTGAGGCTCCAGGGCATTGAGAGAGCTGACAAGAAAAGCATGCCAATTTTTGAGCACACAAGGTGAGAACTTGCTCACAGATTCAGGGCTGCACAGCCTACTTTCTAGAACTGGGGAACAAGGTCAGGGTAGAACTAGCAGAAAGGTTTACCAGATCCCTCTAACCTTCTGAATCAGTACCCCTTAAACCCCTCAGATTAGAGCAGAATTGGTCAAGGCCTTTAAGGTGAAGTTCAAGTAGTTGAAGTACAGGGACTCAGAGTCTGGGGGTTGGTGGGGAGGCATTTGGTCATTATAAATTTTCCCACATTCAAAATTACCAACCTGGGCACTTAGGCTAAGCACTATGCTTGCATTATATCCTTTTGGCCTCATGGCAACACCTGCAAGGTAAGCAAATGGGGAAATGGGCTTGGAGAATTTATGACCAAGGTCACAGGGCTAGGAGATGACAAAGCCCAGATTTGAACCTGGGCCCATCTGATTCCAAAATCATTTCCAATTTTTTTAATCAGACAAAAGGTTAGAAACACTTCCAAGTGCTTTACTCACTGTCACCTTCCACCTCCCACCTCCCACCCCAACCAATGGCTGAATCATTGTGGTGGTGGTGGTGGTCATAGTAGTAAGTAGTAGTGGTAGTAGTACTAGTACTAGTAGTAACTGACTTTGATTAAACTCTTCCCATATGCCAAGAACTGTACTGAGGGCATTACAAGCATTCTCTCATTTGATCCTAACAGCTACCCTGTGATCTAGGTCCTTCTCATTCCCAGTTTACAGATAAGAAAACTGAGCCTCAGAGAGATGAATTGACATGACCAAAAGCACACAGCTCTCTTTCACTCCAGAGCTCATTATGGCATATGACTCATAAAGAAAAAATTCAAATCACTCTCTCCTCTCCCATAAACCAAAAACTAGTCACAGAAAACCCAACAACAACAATTATTATCATACCTAATAATAAAAGCTAACACTTAATGTGTCAGTCACTGTGTTAAGCACTTAAATATATAATCTTGTTTGCTACTCACAAGAACCCTATGAGGTAGGTAGATGAGGAAAGGCACAGAGAGGTTAACTACTTTTCCCAAGGCCACACAGCTAGAAAGCACTGTTGTTTATGCTAATAAAAAATTGGAAGTAACGTATACATAGATGTTGGATCACAATTCATTTAATGATAAATGAATCATGGTGCATCTGCAGCAACCATTGAGAATGATGATCTGATTTTTATAAAATAAATATGTATACTTTTGCATAGAAAAAAAACACAGTCTGAAAAAAATACATGAGGTCTGACCAGAAAAAGTCCAGCCATTGTTCATATAACGAGAATGGCATGTGCGACATTGATGTAACCTGGCAGCCAAGGAGAGTGGACTGTTATGCACATGCATGAACTATGATGACTTCACTGTACTAGTCAGTGGGGGCAGTAGACACCGTCAAGTGAGCACATGACTGTATGGCTGTCATATTCAAAATGACCAAGGGACTAAAGCAACAAATCGGCATCAAATTTTGCATTAAGTTTGAACATTCCTCTGCAGAAACTATTCAGATGATTCAGAAGTCCACAGCTATGGGCAACTGGTGATTTGGCAGCTTCATTATGATAATGCACCCACTCATGCGTCATGTCTCGTGCAGAGTTTTTTGGTGAAACATCAAATCACCCAGGTAACTCAGGCCCCCTACAGACCAGATTTGATGTCCTGCAACTTCTGGCTTTTCCCAAAACTAAAATCACCTTTGAAAGGCAAGAGATTTCAGACCATCAATGAGGTTCAGGAAAATACGATGAGACAGCTGATGGTGATTGGGAGAACTATGTGAGGTCCCAAGGTGCCTACTTTGAAGGGGACTGAGGCATCATTGCCCTATGTACAATGTTGCTTGTATCTTGTATCTTCTTCAGTAAGAGTCTCTATTTTTCATAGTACATGGATGGATACTTTCTGGACAGACCTTTGTATACAAAAATGTTAGTAATAACCATACACAAGTGGTGGGATTAAAGAAGAATTTTGTTTTTGTTTTTTATCTATATTTTCACATTTGTCTATAACAGACCCATCTGAGTGTATTAGAAGGCAAAAAGTTATTTTTCTCTTTTGAAAAGGTGTGCTTCCCTTTGGTTCTGTGTCTTGCCCTCTCCTCTCTTCTCTCTGCATGCTCTCTCTAAGGATCTCCAACATCTTCCCACCCACACAAACTTTCTTCCCAAACAAACTTACTTCACTACTTAGATCCTTGGTCAGGAGTGACCTCTGAAAAAATGTCTCCAAATGGCCTGTTTTTTATTTTGTTGTTGTTTTTGTTCT